TAGCACCTAACTCCTAGGGTTGCTCTGAAGATTGAGTTAATGTGTATAAAGGATATAGAACATTGCCTGTCACAGGACTATAAATATCTGTCTATATCATTGCAATTTATAATGAAAGCTAAGGTACCAAATGATGGCCCTAAGGCTCTTATAAGATCACATATCTGTGTACGTATATATGTGCTTAGATGGCATTCAGCTGTCCGTTAAATAAACCTACTTGTTACACATTAAATTTAAAATAAAAACTGAAAAACCAAAAGTGTTTCTTCCTACCTCTATCTAACCTAAATATCCATTCCCACAAGTATTTCCGGGCAAGAGAAGTTTTTCTGTATTTCTCTCAAAGATGTCCTAGGCTCACATTTCAACTCACACCTATGCTACAGGCTACATAAAAGAAATCATTCTTCTATAAATTACTTATCCAAAAATTCCCGGTTGTATTAATATCAGGCTGCTTTAATAAAGTTTAAATGAAAATTGAACATTTTAAAGTATTTAAATCTTCAAGTTAGCTAATTAGTCCTCATTAGAGGCTGCTCATTCTTCCATGCTAAAACATTTGGTGAAATCCTTTGAATCGTTTCAGAAACTGCTTAATATTCAGTCCCCAGAGTATGACCATGAAGGGTTCTCTCCTGCATTTTCAATACCTTTCCTTTGCAAACACAAGGAGAGAAGAAATGAAAATGGACAAGACCTCTACACTCTCCTTTATAGCAAACTGGCTTTCTATGCATAAACATCCAACCCTACACCCATCACCATTAAGAGGGGCACACAAAGGTTATAATAATTAAAATATTTGATTTTGCTAACTTTTGAGCCAAAAAAAATTTGAGCCAAGTTATAAAAAGTAAGCCTCTCTTTAGATTACACGGCCCAATTCCAAAACCAAAGAACTAGCCTTTCTGGAGGGTTGTACATTATTTGCAGCTTAATCACATACAGACAAATCTTTGAAAGGCTCCCTTTTTATGGGGCTACTTTTTTCCCACAAGTGTGTTAGTCTATACGCTGATGTTAATTCTGATCTGTGAAATCATAAACCAAGGACAAATGTATGTTTATTATCAACCACATTTTACTAAAACTGCTCAGGCCTTTATATCAATGTGATAAATTCTGTTTAAAAATCAAGGAGAGGGCTTCCCCGGTGGCGCAGTGGTTGGGAGTCCGCCTGCTGATGCAGGGGACACAGGTTCGTGCCCCGGTCCGGGAAGATCCCACATGCCGCGGAGGAGCTAGGCCCGTGAGCCACGGCCGCTGAACCTGCGCGTCCGGAGCCTGTGCTCCGCAACGGGAGAGGCCACAACAGTGAGACGCCCGCGTACCGCAAAAAAAAAAAAAAAAAATCAAGGAGAAAATTCATACTTTCATTTCTAATAAACAGCCTGACCTCATAAGGCCACTTTGTTAAATTTTCTCCACCAGCTTCTCAGAAGGTTGCCATTTCAATCATAATGCACTAATGTCTCTCCATAGCTAAATAAACATCTGCACAAAACACAGCTGTGTCCAGAATGCCCACAGCCTAATATTTAAAGAGTCTACTTCCTGATTCAAAAATAATAGTTGCATTTCCAGGGTGATAATTTAGTCAGAAAGGCAGTATTTCACTTATACATTCAGCAAATAACTACACAGATACAGGGCTCTACAAGGCCCTGTGTGATTATGCATACTAATATTCCCCTTTCCTTAGAGACATGTACAATCTGATATGATAGTCAAGGTTTTCCTCACCATAAGCCGTCCTCCATAGAAGAACCCAGATATTACTCATCCTTCAGGGGCTTTACAGTCTCTCTCATTCAATACCTCCCTGAAGTGGAGCTGAAGAGATGGATTGCACCACTTCTGTCCCTCTCCCCTTTCTTCTCTCTCCTTCGGCATTTGTCCACCTCTTTGGCTGCTTATTTCCACCTCTTTCCCTTGCTCCTCTCATCCTGGTCATGCCTATGAAATACAGGCCTTGATATTTTTTCTTTCTTCCCAGAAATCACATCATTCTCAAGGCTTTATCATCTCTTTGTGGAAAATTCCCAAATTTAAGGACTTCAAATTTATGTGATATCCAACACTGACGTGCACATCCCTTAAATTCCTTAATTCCAACCTGACCAACACGGAATGCCTGATCTCCCCACTAAAGCCAATTCTTCTGCCCTACTTCTTATTTCAGTCAATGGTCCCAGCAGGTTCACCATGACCCAGGCTGTCTTAAAGACTTCTTTGACCCCTCTTTTTCCTCAGCACCCCACCAACCCACCCACCTGATGTGTTCCCAAGTCACATGGATTCAGAGCCCTTCTTCCCACCACCATTGCCACCAGTCCTAATCTAGACACTTATTTCTCCCCACTGAACATTTCAGAATTTTTCTAGGTGGGCTCTACCTCCTCTCTAATCCATCTTAAGTGACGATAGCATCATATTAATTTTTTTAGAGAGGATATATGTACTCTGGAACCAGAGGGCTTGGTTTTAAATTCCAGGTCTGCTACTTCTTACTTCTGTGACCTTGGGCAAGTTACCTAACCTCTCTGTACCTTACTCTCATCGTTTGCACACTAAGGATGGTAATAGTAGCTGCCTCAAAACTGTTGTGAACATAAAATAAATTAATAGTTATGGGGCACCTAGAACAGCATCTGGCATGCATTTAAATGCTCAATAAATGTTTGCCATTATTTGCAGTTAGCATAGGTCTAGTCATACCCTGGACTGCCCCCAGATCCTCAAGAGAGTCCCATGGCATACCATGCTGCATTCAATCTGCCCAGCTGACCTTTCAGCTTCCTATCACACAGCCCCACTTGAACCTGTACACACACCAGGCAAATCAGAGGTCTTACTATTCCCTGAACACACGCCAGAGCCTCCCTCCTCATCCTCACTGTTCCCACTTCTGGGATCTCTCATCTCATATCTCTGTCCATCCTTCAAGCCAGTCTTAACTCCTTCATGAAGCCTTTTCTGAACCCCTCAACCAGAAGTGCTCCCCAATGCCCATGAATTCCCCCCAGCACAGGGGTTATGTTACTCTACGGCAGTCATCTTTTCTCTCCATCTCACTGCAGTCCTGTCTTTCTCCCTGCAGGTTTGGAGCTCCTTGAAGGTAACATATGCATCCATCATCCGTGTATTCACTACATCCTCTAGCCCTGTGAAATATGTTGAGGTGACAAAAAAATGGAGGTGTGGGTGATCAGAACCATAGCCACTACTGTGGCATAGTAGTTAGGCACCTCAAATAAAAAGAAATACACACTCTGCCCAGACTGGAGTCCTCATCATAGTTTTGAATGACATCAAAACTCACAATATAAATTGGATGGTCTCTCCAGCAAGTCTTTCTTTACAGGACACCAGAAATACAGTAGAATCAATATAAGAAGAATGTGGTTTGTAGCCCTATCCTAAAATACTAACATTAAAATCACACAAAAAATTTTCCTCATATATTAATAGTAGAATCAAAAAACCACTGACTACTGACTGTGTTTAGTTGACTAAATGTAATTTTCTGCTAGATCTACCATCTAGCAATCCCAAGAGAAGCAACTTAGACCTCAAGGCCTGGAGCTTGTTCAGTGACATATTAACTTCTGGCACATCACTGAAGAATTAAACATAATGGCATATACACAGTCCCTACCCTCGGACTCATGAGAGGTCCCCAAACCCTACACCCAGAAAAAGAGGGCGACAACAATGCACATTCCCAACAATAGAATGAACACTCCATAAACACTGCTGGCAGTGACATCATCCAGGTACCAGAGGTCAGAGAGCAGGCAGTGCAGTACTCCATGCTATCTAGGAGCAGAGCTGTAATCTGACACCAGGGATTTAGACCTCTTTGCCCAGCAACTCTGGGCATTCAGGAGCCGCAGCAAAGGGCTCTTTCATTCCCACTTTCACTTCAGCCATTCAAGGAGCATCCTGCTCCCAGCACCACTGAGAGAAATGTCCCGAAGACATCAGTTTCAAGAATCCCTATGATTAAGTGAAATTAAAGAATGTTTTCCCTCAAATAAAAGATATGCTCTTGAAGTCTGAGAATACTCTCACTCTTCCAATACCTGGTGGTACCCACAAATCCTTTGGCAGAACTGCCAAAATCCCTCTTAACATGACAAGTCCTAGGAAGCTTACTAAGTAACTATGGTTCATTTAACTATGTTCATTTAATTGCACGTTTGGTTAAGAAAACAAGGAAGTAAAATTAAATGTTTGTTAGAATATGCTGGACAACTCTGAAACACTAGCTCTTTTAATAAAAGGACATAATTATGTCAACTCAGCCTTCTTATTCCTTATTATATGTTGCTTTTATTAAGTAGAGATTTATCTCTCTTTAAGTTTTTACTATACTATACGATATCTTTTTCCTGTAGATCAATGGTCTTTCACAGAAAACAGTTCCCTACTTGTATCTTACACTCTCAAATCCTAATCCCACAGAGGCAGAGTAAACAAAGAATGTAAATTAGCACTCCTATACCACTTCCTCAAAGGCAAAAATAATAATACTGTGAAGCTTGGGGCACCCAAATAAAATAACTCAATAATTTACCACACAGATAAACTCAATACACACACTGCCCTGTACTCTGTAGGTGCTCCAATAAATACTCCATGAACTGATTCACAGGCCTGCTACAGAATCTGGCAAGGACAGAGGGTGCGTCTCCCTGGTCCTGCTCTGGGGAGTGTTAGGAATCTACGGTTGCAGTTTATTGTGGTGGTAGGAAGAACTAATATAGATAGAGGTCTAAAAGAAATGAGGTGACGATAGGTTCAAATTATGTTAACTTTCCCTGCACCTCTCCCCAAGCATCTGAGCCTAAGGAAATCGGATTTGTTGCTTGCACCGCGGGGGGAAGGTGAATAAAACTGCCATAAAGGTGCACTGCATTTCCTCACCAAAGAGCCAACAAACTAAATGGTTGAGAAAAAAAAGAAAAAAAGAAAGAAAGAAAGAAACTTACTTTTCATAGACCAGCTCCTCATCGATGGAGAAATAGTGGGTATTTACTGTGCTTTTTGGTCTATTCCTTAAAGTAGCAAAATATAACCGATCTGAAAGACAAGTTTAAAAGACAGGAGAAAACATATGAGAAGTAGGGAAGCCGGGGCAGGGGGGGTTGCTAACGCAACAAGATCAAAATAACAACCGCCACCCATTATTTAAAGACCCCATTAACACATGGAATTCTTGCAAAGCCCTGATCTCTCCCACAAAGCGACAGAGATCCAAGAGCATACCAGTTAGAGAAGCGAGAAGAGGGCCCGACTGAGAACTCAGCGGTGGGCAGAGCTCCCATATCCCCCTTGTTCAGGCCAGCGGGAGCAGGTAGAAGCTGAGGGTACCCGTAGCACTGGAGATGCAAGTTTGGTTCAGAAATGTCCAGACCTCAGCAGCTGCGGAAGGGGAAGGGAGAGGCCAGAGGCGAGCCTCTCCCCTGCAGCTCCGGAGACTTCAAGAAGAGGAAGGGAGGAGAGACGGGGTTTGTGTCTGGAGATGTCCCGAAAACCGAGTCCAGCAGTAGAAGGATAAAGGCAACCGAAAGGATCCGCACGAGCCGCTGCATGCAGGAGCCCGGGAGAGGCCGGCGCCGTCCCATTATCGGGCGGGGAGGCCTTCCGAGCGTGCTGCAGAGGGAACGAGGGACGCAAGAAAGACAGAGAAGCCGGAAGCAGGGGGTCCTCGGGGAGAGGATAGCACCGAGAGGGGACGAGAGCCCGCGCAGCGACCGCAATACGCTGGGGGCCCAGGAAGAAGCCGGAGACAGTGGTTGGGACGTTGGGGCGAGAAGTGAAAAGAGTTGGGGGCGACGGAGGGTTGGAGGATGCGGGGCGGCTGCTCCTCACCTTTCATGAACTCGCAAGCCCCGATTAGTTCCCCTGACTCCGCTGCCATCTTAAGCGAGATACGCACGGGGGAGGGCTGGGTCCTGGCCAGCTGAGGTCACCCGCCCCCGGGGGCTTCCCCACTGCCCAGGAGCCGGGAAGCTTGCTGTCCCGAACACCAAGCCCGCCCGAGAGAGGCAGCAGGCGCCGAGGGCGGAGGCGGCTGGGGGGTCAGCGCGCAGGGCGCCCCGGGGACATTCCGTGGGGAACCCGAGCACCCTCCGAGCGGGGCGCACACGCCCCGGTCTGTGGCCACTCCGCTTCGGACCCGGCTGCTGCCGCTGCTCCGCCGCCGCCGCCGCGCCTGGGAAACGCAGACCAGCTCTCACGGCCGGGCAAAGTCTTCCCCCGGCTCCCAAAGGGATCATGGAGGAGGAGACTTCTGGCCCCGCTCGCGCCCGTGGCTACTCGTGCGGCAGCGGGCAGGACTCTGGTGCCCGCCGGCTGGCAGCAGCTGCTCCGGCTCCTCCTTCGCCACCTTCTTTCAGCAGCAACTCTTCCTCCTCCTCCTGCCCCTGGGTCCGCCCCCAGACCTTCTTCCCCGCCCTCCTTCAGCCCCCTCCACTTTCACGGCTCCGCGGCCATCCCTTAAAGGGACAGCGCCGCTCCTTTCTCCGCGCCCGCACCGCGCCCCAGTTACCAAGCGCCCCGCGGATCACTAAGAGCCGGTTGCTAAGGCTTTGTTGTCGTCCACCAATTGCTGTACAGGAAACGCGGTCCCGGGCCCTGAGGAGCCGGGCGGGGCCTCCAGACCAGAAAGTTATGAATGAAACGGTGGAGTCGGGAGTGGTCCCGGAGGGCACTTGAAGCGGCTTCGCAGGCAAGAATGAGCCCGCGCCCCTCCGTTTTCTGCACGCACTTAGTCTTCTTCCTATTCCAGATTTTTCGTCTGTCTCTCTCATTCTCTACCTCTCTCTCCCCACTCACCCTTGTTCTTCTAAACTCTTGCATGCGCGCGTGGACACACACACACACACACACACACTCTTAAAGCTCTCAGAACTCCGTGCCCCACCTTACCTATAGCTAATCTTTCAACCAACCCCCATCCTCACCACTGACAGACCTCTATCTTTACTAAAAAAAAGAAGCCCTACCTCCTAGCTCAGAAGAACACCTACTGGTTTCTTCTACACATATTGGACTCTGAATTAACTTGTGCTTTGTTCTCACTGGGTAAAAGGTTCCCAGCCGGTTCCCCACGTCCTCTAATTTGGGTCGCCGCTGTGGGCGCAAATCATCACAAATACCTAACCTTTATGTGGCTCTGGTCCTGGAGGGGGGCGGGGCGGAGGAGCGAGGCCAGCCGGGGGGCAGGGGAGGGAATAGGGGAGAGGGAAGAGGGCCACTTGTCCACGGGGAAAATTATCACAAAAGAATATCTTTACACAGTCTTAGCTGAAGCGCTGCAGAGAAGCCTTATCTCAAAGAAGCCCTTGACTTGTTTCCGTGAGGCTTCTCGTACAGCTCGAACAACTTTAAAGCAGGGTGTCCTACCGGTGTGCCTAATTAGAGAGCAGTCCCTTCCATATGAAAATGGCGCTACAGACCCATCACCGGAAGAGCATGAGCTCTGAGTGGTTTCTCCAGAAACAGACAGGGATTTGTGCCAGCCTTCGGTTTCGCACTCGTTTGTTTACCTCTTGGAGAAAAGGGGCGCGCAAGAGAAAGAGTCCACTGACTTTGAAGGACCGCTCTGAGGTCAGCAAGTAAAGCTCAATCTCTTGGTCTCAACCCGTTAGCTTTGCTGGCTCTCCAAAAAGCTAAAGAGCCCACAGAAAAATGATAAACGAATATTACTTAGATATTCAGAAAAAATATTCTGAACATATCAGTAATTCTAATAGAACATGCCCTTGCAAGACAGTTAAAAGAAAACCTATCCTAACATCCAAATCTTTAAACTCTAAGGTAAGAACCATATAAATTTAAAGGTGGAAGAATCACTAAAGACGACCTCCTACCATCCCCTAATCTTCCCACGAGGAAAGACTATCTCAAAAGAGTTTTTAAAACCGTAAAAGTCCTGAAAATATGAGTTGTCATGAGTGTTCCTCTCTGCTGAGATGCAGTCCATGTTTTCCAGGCCCCTGGCCATGGCTATGGAATTCTAAAGAATGAAGTATCTCTAAATGTATTTTCCACACTCAACAATTCTTCGAATTTTTTCTGATATTTACTCCCACAAATCGTGTGTCGACAATCATGTTAGCCAATTCATATTATTTTGTTGAAAAGTTCCAACTGAGACTTTATATGTGACAGTTATGGAAAAGCAAAGTGTATGAATGTCTCAGTAAACTTACCCACTTTGTTTAAAAAAGCTAATTCAATGATGGCAATCTATTTCCAAATTTTATGATGTGAAATTCGTGTAGAACCTAAATTCTCTTAACAAATTTCCTAACAACTTTTCATCCAAGTGTTGTATTAGAAAAACTCCTTTAGAAAAAGAAGCCCAGGTTCTCATTCAACGCATAAACTTTTAATTTTACTAAGTAAATAGACTAATGAAAAGAACTCTAAATCTATAGGTTCAGAGAAGTCAGATTGAATTAAACACCTCTTGTTATTTTCTGAAATGAATTTACAAAAACATTTTCTTTCATATAATTCTCCTGCTTAGAAATTTTGGTCATGAGGAATGAATTATGACCTGAACAAACAGAAGTCCTTAAAATTAAGATCTCAAAATGAAAAAGTTTATTTTTCCTTAGCATATTTACAGTATGAGTATTACAATGAAATTTTTGAAGTTGTTAAGACTTTATAATGTTTTTTTGAAGCTCAATGAAAGGAAAATAAGTGATTGTCAGTATAATCAAATCTCTCTAAACCAAAATCTGCACAACCTAAATGGTATAAAAAAAATCCTACAAGAAAAATTATGAACAAGATAGTGCGCATACAGCACACATACATGTCAAGGTTCTAATGAGATCATAAAATACTATATTGTCTCAATTATCATGAGGTCAGAGTTCTTATTGGTTGTAGTTTCATAATAAAGGCATGACTTCACAGTCTATGGAAGAAGATATGGAAAAAACTTTCCAATCACTCAGAATAAATGTTAGGAACTGACTTTTATCTTAAACAACAATAAAGAATGGTGTTGCACACATAAAGAGAATACTAGGAGAATAAAGATTTCACTCAACTGCAGAAAGGGAAGGTAATGTTATACAGAGAAATTTAGTTAAGTATAGGGCTTCCCTGGTGGCGCAGGGGTTAAGAATTCGCCTGCCAACGCAGGGGACACGGGTTGGAGCCCTGGTCCGGGAAGATCCCACATGCCGCTGAGCAACTAAACCCGTGAGCCACAACTACTGAGCCTGCGCTCTAGAGCCTGCGAGCCACAACTACTGAAGCCTCCTCACCTAGAGCCCGTGCTCCGCAGCAAGAGAAGATACCGCAATGAGAATCCTGCACACCGCAACGAAGAGTAACCCCCGCTCACCGCAACTAGAGAAAGCCCGTGCGCAGCAACGAAGACCCAACGGAGCCTAAATTAAATAAATAAATTTTTTTAAAAAAAAGAAATTTAGTAAGTATAGAAGTGTCTCAAGTTTGAAAATGACAACATTTATTCTAACTCTGCAAATGTAGCTTGAATCCTGCCTCCAGTGCCCTGAGGGTAGTCTGCAGCCTATGCTCATGCACCTGGAGAGCTAGAAAACTCTCTGCTAGAGGCAGCTCTAAAATATGTTGTCACCTTCTGGTTCTAATTCTGCTCCTTAAGGCTGTGCTGAACTCCCTTAGTTACTCTTGCATATGACTACTCTTCAAAAATACAAAGGCAGCTCCCTTGGGCCACTTCTTCCCCCTTGGTACTTCCCAGATTAAAATCTCCATTTTCTTCAACCTTTTCTTAAATTACATGGCTTCAAGCCCTGCTGTCCAGTCACTCTCTTTTCCAATTTGTCTGCATCCCTCATAAAGTGTGTCCCAGAACTGAATGCAGGCCTGTGGTGACCTGGTGTGACTAGTTCTGAGATCAGAAAAAAAAAGCACTGATGAAAATTCAGATGGGAACAAAAGCACTGAAAAACATAAAAGAACTAAGTTTTATTATTTAGTTGCAAAAAAGGAAATATTCTCTCGTTGGAAGAGGGGGGAAAAAGTTGCTCAGGATAGTCAAAGGCCTGACAGATGTGATATTTACATATTCTATTCTTTTAAAATTATTTTCATTTCTCAGAATATCTGATTTTAACATGCGCTTTTAGTTGTTTGTTCAGTCATGATTATGTTATCTAAGCAAATAAAAGGGAATATATAATACATACTTTGAATTCTTTCTAAAAATCAATTTTCAGTTTAACTATGAACCAAGGGGCTGTAGAAACCTACACTGCTGAGTAATTTGAAATTCAAAGTAATTTGAATTGTTTAAATATTTTGATAAATTACTTATATAATGCCAAAAATAATTTAAAGCAGCTTTTAATAAAATATATATGCCAAAAAAGTCATTACAAGCCTGTCCCAATCTGATGAGAATGTATGCAAAAGTGAATAATGGCAGAAAACAATTGAGGTTTATTATTACAGAATATTATTATATTATTATATATTTTATGTTATTATATATTATATTATATATTAATATATATTATATTGGATATTATTATTATAGAGTATTATTATTATGGAGTATTATAATAGTATTTTTAAATGATCATTCTTTAGTTTTCTTTTACAATTAAAGATACAGGGTTTCCCTGGTGGAGCAGTGGTTGGGGGTCCGCCTGCCGATGCAGGGGGCGCGGGTTCGTGCCCCGGTCCGGGAGGATCCCGCGTGCCGCGGAGCGGCTGGGCCCGTGGGCCATGGCCGCTGGGCCTGTGCATCCGGAGCCTGTGCTCTGCAACGGGAGAGGCCGCAGCAGTGGGAAGCCCGCGTACCACAAAAAAAAAAAAAAAAAAAAAAAAGATTCAAATCCAGAATGAGAATTCTGCCCTTGCTTTTCAGCTCATCTACTCTGCACTCATCCTGTTTGTAAAAACAACCTTCCCAGGACATTATTGTTCTCCCCTGTTCCTGTCAGTATCTGATTCAGGAAGCTTCCTTGAAAAATGGGGAAGAATGGGGTTTTCTACTTTATTATCATCACTGCCAAATATGTTATACATGGATTGTTGAAAATCTGAATGCAATAAAAGGAATAGTAACCCCCCCGCAAAAAAAAGTCATTACAGTACAAAAAGAATACCAAAAATTTGTATACAACATGACTGCCCACAGATGCTAAGATCTTGGCCTGACCCAGCCATATTCTGCATCACACTAATTCTGTTTAAGGATTTCAAGCCAGAATCAAAGACAGTAAAAACCAGAAGGGACCTGGAAGGTCAGCTAGGTCCAGTTTTCACAAAGACTCCATGGAGTCTAAGGTAGCAAGAGACCCCACATGGGGTTGGGGGTGGAGAGGGAAAGATGAGCAGGCAGGGCTTTTACAGAATATTTCATTTGTAAAAGAGTATGTGTCAAAA